TAGGTGGAAAACATTTCCTATAATTTCTAGAAATTGAACCAAACACCCCCTAATTTAAAGGGATTTATTGCCAAAAAAAAACCGCCCCAAAGTTTAGGAGGTTTTGCGAGATTTACCCTTAAAATTAAGGGAAATAATAGCTGCTTCAGGGTATTTCCAATCAACAAACAGTGATATCAACCAACAAGATTGTACGCTTTGGTGAAGCTCCAGAAGAAATCTGAACCGGCCTTGTCACCTAGAATCTGAAAGATTCAAACCGACTGATTGCTACGTGTCATGAAGGGATGTTTATTGCCTGTTTTGGACAAAATAACAGAAGAAAACATCATTTCTGTCATTTCTTACATTCCACGCGTGGCTGTAGATTACCTCATAGAGGATCATAACATCACATAAAGAATTTCATGCTGGGGATGGGGTCATGGTAGAGAATGATTTGTTGTGTAGTTGAGCTCAAGCCAGTGATGAAAGGACACATATCATCACAACATCCATTGCATGAGTTGAGATCAGCTACAAAAGTTTTCCTTTACAAGATGCATGTGTACCTAAACTCTATTGAGTAAAGAATAATATATTCACTTGAATAAAGATGGATTGAAAAGGCTAAGAGAAACTTAGGAATTAATTCGCATTGAACAATCTGCTTATATGTTATACATAGCAACTGATGATCAACGCACAACTCCACTAAATGTGAAAATGCTCCTGCTGATTGAAAACTAATAGGGGACAGTACCAAAGATGCAACGGTGATAGAAAGGGAATGTGTCACCGAAAGTGGGAGCAAACGTAGGCAGTGATGGTCAACAAAATGGTGCAGCATGCGGATGGTTGTTGAAGGAGCTCAATGGCTAAGTCAACGGACAAGGATTTTTCAGTAGAAATCTTAACTGAAAGTGAAGCCTTCTGGTTTACTTTTCAAGCATCAGAACTTATCGCCAACCATCACCTTTTTTGACTCTGTCCAGAGTGTGCGCCATCTAAATAAATCGGAGGAAAGAGATAAAGGTGGATGATACATGAGAACCAAAGCTGAACAGGTGATCTAATCTGAGTGGAGAAAACATTTCAGGGACAAAATGGGTCCATGTGTTAATGCATACCTCAAACCACATGAATGGTTGGACCTAACAATTCTGCGCTTCAATTAAGCTTCAGCTACAAATGTGTGGCCAGAAATTTCTATGCCCAATAACATGATAGTGAATAAAACATAAGTAGAATTGACATGATCTAGTAATATATAGAGCACAATACTTTGGCAGGAAGAAAACATTGAAGGTAACAGTCAAAACGTTATAACAGACCTAGCGTAATCAAAATCAATCCATAAAATTCCAAACAATTAGGGTCAATTGCGGAACTACCACCCTACGGTATCGCTGTTTTGAACATAACGCCCTTTTTGGACACTCCCTACATGAATCTTTTCGACTCTTTCACCCTCTGAGAGAAATGCAATTTTTTTTATATTTATTATTATTACTATTTTGCTGGAAAATGGACCACAGGGTAAAAGAGTTAAAAAAAATATCATGCAGGAGTTCTATCTGCAAAAAGAAAACAAAAGGGTAGCAAGTTCAAAACAGTGATAGTAGCTATGGTCTCTCTGCAATTAACCCTCCTATAAGTGAGAATGTTTAATCCAAATTCATGAATAATTAAAGGAGTTATAAAGAGAGTGAATAGCTGTGTTCCCAAGAGAGGAGCTCAAGATTACAGAACCAGAAAGAAAGAACACATGGATCATTATTTACCCTAAGTTGGCAGTAAACTAGGGATGGATAAATGAAATAGAAAAATTAAATAATCAATACACCCTTATATGACCTGCCTGCACCAAGAGACCAACCAAAAGTTGTATCAATAATGTCATTAACATCATGTAAAGTACTTTACCATCCTTACTCCACACTGCAAGTACACGGCATTGTAGACAATATTATGGAGAAAGCATAAAAGCTTAACTACTTCATTATATCAAAACATGCATGCTACTGATGTTAATTACAGTAATAATTGTGTATGATTGCCTTAAATACATATAATATACGTTCATGATGGTAACCTGATAAATCTACAGTAATGAGAAGAATAAAAATTCAACATTTAGTAAACAGGATGTGAAAGTGGGAAAACCATTCTTGATAAACTTGAGTTCAGCCTTAGTTTGAAAAGATGCAGCTCATATTTGACTACCTTGTCATCACGGTACAAAGTGTGCACGATACCATAGCTAGGTGGTATTCACAAATATAGAAATCATGATATCTGATAAAAGACAACAGAAATTTCAAGGCTGCAAATTACTATTATTAGTAAAACTAAGACCCATCAACATCTCTCTTCTGCTTCTTAATCTAGTGAAGATTAATAAATGAGAAGGTAAGAATATCGTACCTACAATCCTAAGCATTTCTGACTATTTGTTTGTATTATCCGACACATCTGAAACTTCCAACTGATTGAAAATGACTGCAGTCTTGCCAACTTGCTGAAAAGAGGAAAGTAATGCAAAAGATTCTCACACCATAAATTCCTCTACAAAACTGCTGCCAGAGCATGAAATTCTAATACTTCTTTTTCCATAATTCAAATGCAAATGATGTCTGCTTTCAGACTAAGAGGAAAAAAGTGGTTATTTCCAATGAATAAATTAGGTGTGCCTGCTGAAGAGATTAGTTTAATATTACGCCTGCTTCAATTATAAGGAATGTCGTCTGTTTCCTTTTCTTTTCTTTTTTAAATACAGGTCTAAGTTGAAAATGGAAGACTTATCTTTCCAAGAGAATAAAAAGGCAATATAAACTACCAAAACAGACCTGCAACATACTTGGTGAAGCGAGATGTCTAGCACTGACAGCACGCTTTCTATATCTATGTTGGCCTTACCATTCTCAACCTCTAGGCCTCCAATCCTGGCAAAATGGCACACAGATCAGACAAGAAAAGAGGGAGCGTTCGTCTAGACATTGAAATGAAGAATAAACAGGAAAAGCGACTTGTATATATTCTCTCTTGAAAATAAACAAACTGGACATTTTACCCGCCAAATGATTCACCAGCATCAAATGTTTCTGCCTCATGACCCAACCACTCAGTACTGTTGCATCACCGACAAGTTTGTTATTGATCCACAGATATCCATTCATAGATGGTTGCTGAACAAGTTAAATGTGTCAAAATTTTGCAGTTCTACTAGCTATAAACTTATCATGTATTAGTTTTCAGAATCTTATTGTTGGCACCATGGCCTCCAAAACTTGCAATTTGTCGTGCTTCATATTTGGCTCTTGTCAAGTTCATGTTGGTTTTGCCCACATTGGATGAGAAAGTCACTTCCTAGAGGTCCATGAGAACAAATTTATTTTGTCAGCGATTTCTCTTATATCAAATTGAAGTTACCGAAAAAATCACATGATGCAATGAAATCCCCTGTAACTAAGTTGAACCAAATAAACTTCAGTTCCTTAATTAGTCTAACATCATGTTTTGGCTCTCCATGACCTTTTATGCAATCCACAACATCCCCAACCTGGCATTCATGCGCGCATCCACAAGCCATTAAGACAAAAAGTATACTGTCTCTGTAGTTGCATAAAATGGAAGATTAGCAGTGCATGTTCTTGCTGGACCAGACCCTCCAAATTTGCTAACAAAAACCAAGATATACATACTAGACTGCTGTGGTAAAATCCATTTTTGAGCTATAACATGTCTTTTTTTTAGGTGTTGTACAATGTTATCTGAAATGTGGTACCACAAGCAATCCTGACAAAGGGAAGAGAAGGCTCAGAGTTATTACCAGTTTCTGCTTCAATGTACTCAAGTTGTCAGCAAAAGGGAATCTGCACATGGCGGAAACAACAATGCTATTTGGCACGCAGGGTATCGTGCAGGGGCATCGCGCATCCTACGTGGATCTAGCCACGTCAGCAAATTAATTTTGATCTTAATTCTGTGAAAAAAGAGCCGTGACCCATTCCTCCGTCCTATTCTCTCTCCTCACTTCAAATTAATTTCCCATCTACACCCGTGACCCATTCCTCCGCCCTATTCTCTCTCCTCACTTCAAATTAATTTCCCATCTCCCCGGCGACTTGGGCGATCACCGTCAGAAGCGCGCCCGAACTCAAGTGAGAAGGACCGCCGTAGTCTCCGCCCGTCGCCGGAGTCAGCCCCTCGCTCGAGTTCGCTGTAGTCCCTCCCCAACAGATCTAGAGTTTAACAAATTTCTCAAACTTTAATCTTTCAAGTTAGGATTTTTTTCTGTAGATTTCTCATCTAATTTCTAGGGAATGCATGTTGATGTTTTAGATTTTTGCAAATTTCTGATTCAATTTTATGAATAAATTATTAATTAGGATTTTTAAAGTTGAGATTTTTTTGAAGAATTCTCATCTAATTTCTAGGGATTGCATGTTGATACTTCAGATTTTTACAAATTTCTGATTCATTTGTTGGAATATTTATGGTCATGTGCAGAGAAGAATCTCTTCAGCCGTAAATTTTTTGACCTACAATTTTTATTATAAAAATTAATATGGATAAATATAATTGCATAATATTATATTTTTTATTTGCTCAAATGAATCTTCAGCCGTGAATTTTTTTTGAAGAAGAAAATACACTTTTGTATAATCTCTTAACATAATTTTGATTTTTCAAAACTATTATCTCCTCGCAGAATATTACAGTGGGTGTTAATTATGGTGGGTTACATTTTAACTATGATTATTTCCCGCAGAATCATATCGTCAACATCTTCTCAACAATCATCCTCTTCTAAACAGGCAAGGTTCTTGATAGGAGGCTATATGCTGCAATGTGGAATCATCCACCTCCATACGAGATTCCTAATTGCTATTGTGGAATTCCAGTGCAAATGAAGACTTCTTACACCCCGGGGCATCCGTATTGTCGATTTGGAATTTGTGCTACAAACACTTGTAATTGTTGGACTTGGTTAGATCATGGCGAAGTACCAAGGAATTTGTGCTACAAACACTTGTAATTGTTGGACTTGGTTAGATCATGGCGAAGTACCAAGTTACGCTCGCGACTCAATGAATATATTTATTCGCAAATATGAAGAGCTTTCAATTAAAAATGAGAACTTGAGATCAAGAATACATGGAGAAAAAAATGAAATTTGGAAGAAACATATCCAGGAAAAAGACTTTCTACTTGGAATTTTTGTTGGTTTCATGATGTCTAGCTTTCTTGTAATAATATCCAAGTAAGGGTATGTTTTTAGTTTGGACCTTGTAATATTTTGCTAACTCAACCTTTCTTGTAATAATATCCAAGTAAGGGTATGTTTTTAGTTTGGACCTTGTAATATTTTGCTAACTCAACTATGTTCTATGAAAATCTTTGTTCTATGAATGTTTTTAGTTTGGACCTTGTAATATTTTGCTAACTCAACTATGTTCTATGAAAATCTTTGTTCTATGAAATTGTAATGAAAAAGTTAGGTGACAATTTGTTACTTCGGATATTTGTTATTATGTGCGTGTTTGGAATTCTAAATTCATATTACTTCGGATATTTGTTGTTATGGTATCTGAATATTTGTTTGGAATTCTAAATTCTAAATTCTAAATTCGTATTTCATAAGTGGATGATATCTGTCCCATGAAAAAGCAGCTGTTTGAGTCCGTTAAGTATATAACAATAATGCTCTGAAGGCAGAATGAAGTAAAAAGAATTCTTAGATTACATCCCAGTTGTTAATACTAATGGTTTCCTTTCTTGTTGCATATTTAAAAATACGTCTTTTATTGGTTCTGTTTGTACTTTGAAGAGGGTAAATCAAGTCATCTCTGTCAATTACCTTGTGAGCTTACTCTGCACTATACTATTGGCACTTAAAATTTTAATTCGAAGGTTGCTAATCACAGAGCATTTTACATTTTAATTGACCAGTAGACGGATTATCACAAAGAGCTGTACCAAAAGGAATGAATGGTTAGAATACTACTGAGTTTTTGTATCTGGGAATAAAGAATTTGTCCTTATTGGTTTCCATGAAAGATGTGATGACACTGAATTATCAGGGATTTTATTATGCAAAAGTGCTCAAAGTGTGAACTGCTATTTGGATAGACATTGGAAAATGGAACTCAATATGAGCCTTGTTGAACTTTGTAGGAATTGGGAGCTCACAGCACCGTGGACTGGGGTCAAGATACAAGTACCAGTCAAGTTCATAGTTGGGGATCTGGACCTCACTTACAACACCGGGAATGTCAAAGATTACATACACAAAGGTGACTTCAAAAGAGATGTTCCATTCCTATTCTGCTCCTATTCTGTCTAGTGAAACAAAGTCGTCGGTCTGCACAAAAGTTAAAGAAGAGTCTATGGAGTTAATCTTGCACAAAGCCGCCAGTCTGCGCTGCATGATACCCAAATATCGCCTACTAGGACCTGCATAATATAAATTTTTAGAGAATAAAGAATAAATTTTCAGAACTTATGGAGAATTTTTAATGTACCAATTCCTGAATTTCTACATAGCTAAACAATCGAAATGCATGATACAAAATATATGACAAAGCCACTCAGTTGTAATAGTTCAGTTAAACAGTTCAATAAATTCCAGTTGTAACCATGGTTTTAAATATCGGCCGATAATCCGATATTATCGCCGAGTTATCGGATTTGGGAGCTTTCCGCTAGGATAAGTAGGATTTTTAATCGGTTATCGTTTTTTGAGGTTTATCGGCGATAAAGGCACTTATCGACCGATAAGTAGGCTCTAAATATCGGCTTTATCGACCGATAAGTAGGATTTGGGAGCTTTTACTTTCTTTTGGATTTGCTCTTTGCATGTTTACAAATTATGAACTATTTGTTGTTTTTGGAACTTGGTTGATTGGTGATTAGCTTATGTTTGTTTATGAATATTGATAATGGCTTATAACTACTAAATATCAACTTAGTAAGTTAGTTTATGAATCTCATGATTAAACAATAATTATGTAGATGCGTAGATGGTTCTTCATTCTTGATGTTATCTTATTATTTGCTAGTTTATTATTCCATTTTGACTAACATTATATTATTTTTCAAGCTTATGTTTGTTTATTATTTGCTAGTATATTACTCCGATAAATACTATTTATCCCCGATATATCCCTAATTTTCGCTATCCGATAAGAATTTTGACCGTCCGATAAATTCCCGATAACCGACATTTAAAACCTTGGTTGTAACATGAGCTTTCTCAGTTGTGGCATGTAAATTTCAATTTTAATCTTTCTCAGTTAAAAGTTGAGAATTTGTTAGAAGGAATACTAAGAAACTAAGGAAATATATAATCTTTTCAACAAAAATAAACACTAAACTCACTGTTAAGGCGTCACATCATGTTTCTCTGATCATCATAGGTTTGATGCAATCCACACATAGGTGTCAACCCCATCGCATGTAGATCTCCAGGCATTGAAAATTGAGGCTGTAACACATCATATAGATAAAAGGGTGTAGCTATAGAAATTAAATCCTATTATAACATAGAAAATAAAGATGTTGATATAATACATTGGACTATATCTTACCAATTGCATACATTCATTTGTTAATTGTTGTGCCAACCAATACATTCCCCATGGATGCACAGTATTTGGTTGTGGCATATAAGCATTTGAAACCATGCTATCTTGTGTGTCGGAAAAAACACCCTCTTGAGATTATGATGGATTGTTGACTGACACATTAGCATTATGATCAATTTTCTTTTTTCTTCGCCTACTTGTTAGCTTAATTCTGTTTTGTCTAGGCCGATCTTTCCGAGTCTGAGAGAGAGGATCCAATATGTTTTCATTTTCCTTCTTTTCATATTCCTTTTCTTCTTCCATAAAATCATGATTCTTCGGTACTTCTTTTCCTTTCTGACTTGATTCAATTTGTTGTAGTTCTCTAAATTTGGTGTCTATCCATTTTTTAACACCCTCATATTTATGGTTGTTTTGAGCAGCAAGATCAGCAACCTCGCTAAATGCAAGACATAACTCGCGATAGCGTAATTGTTCAGATGACAACCCAAGTATTAAATTTGACTTTCATCTTCGAGTGAGCTTGCCTCACATCCTTTCTCCACTTTTTTAGAATGTACTTTTCCGGAAAAAAGCTGACTTCGTAACGGATAAGAATGGTAAGGGCATGCCTACATACTATACCTTTAAACACAAACAAGTGACAACTACATTGAACTTCACAATGCTTTTCACGAAAGGATACTGTGAAGAATTTAGGAATCCTTTTGCCGCCCTCCAACCAAAAAGCCTCCTGAATGATATACTCAAGCACAATATATCTTTTCAGTGAATTCAGCTTGAAACTCTTTAAACTTTGCTAAAATATAGACTCCCTAAATTTGACTATCCATTTCATAAGCTGTTGCAATAGCTATTACTTTTAAAAATAACTCTGCATCGGCCCGCATCTCCTTTTCCGTCTTGCTTCTTAATGTATTTTCATACTGCTCAACAAACGGTTTCAGACTTGTTTTTGAATTGACATATCCATAAAAAAACATTCATTCTTCCACTTCGCTGAGTAGTTGACATTCCTGCCCAAAAACAATTTTTGACAAAACATGGAACACATCAGTTTCTCTCCTCGTACAATTCACCTAACTAATCACAATCATCCAATCCATACATGTCAACAATGCTATTTGGCACGCAGGGCATCACACGTCCTACGTGGATTCAGCCACGTCAGTAGATTAATTTTGATCTCAATTCTGTGAAAAAATACCCTTGACTCATTCCTCCGCCCTATTCTCTCTCCTCGCTTAAAATTACTTTTCCATCTACACCCGTGACCCATTCCCCCTACCCTATTCTCTCTCCTCGCTTACACCAATTAAAGACTATTATATCCAAAAGAAAATTTACGATAACATAAACTTCAAGTATTACGCCGGTGAAAATTTACATCAGTTAAAGACTATTAAATTATCCAAAAGAATAAGGATGCATATATAGCAGAAAATTTAGCTTCATCAGTTTAAAATATAGCTTCAGTTCATTAAAATAAATTTGATTGCTTGTTCAGTTTTAATCAACTGTTTGTTCAGTTTCTTTGTTAAGTTTCAGCCAATTGTTTGCACAGTTTCTTTGTTCAGTTTCTGTCAACTATTTTTTAAAGTTTATTGATGATCAATTAATTTGAATAGACATGACAGATATTGAGGAGTTTGATGATTTAGATGATGATGACTTGAATAATTGCTCGGTTGATGAGAGATATGAGTTGCCTCAGTACACTGATCAACAGATTGAACAGGATGAGCCTAAAATTGAGATGGAGTTTAATGAGATTGATGAACTGTTTGAGTTCTACAAAGACTATGCAAAGAGCAGTGGATTTCCAATTAAGAAACTATCAAGAATGAAGAATGAAATGAGAATTGTTAGAAGTATAACTTTAGCATGTGGTCGAGCTGGTAAACATAATAGTACTTGTCAAAATCCCTTGAAACCACAAGCAAGCTACAGAATTGGGTGTAATGCAAAAATAGTAGCTAAGTTAAATCTGGACGGAAGATGAGAAATATCTGTGATTGTTCTGAAGCATAATCATGGCCTTAGCCCTAGTAAAAGTCGTTTCTTTTGTTGCAATCGAAGAATTAGTGCACATTGTTAGACATCAAATTAATCTGAATGATCAAGCCGGAATCAAAATGAACAAAAATTTTAGCTCACCAGTACACGAGACTGGTGGATATGAGAATCTGTTGTGTGATGAAAAGACTTGCAGGAACTTGGTTGCAGGAAAGGCATTTTTAAGTCAGAAGATATAGCTAGTAGCTTGTTCGATACAGGACATGAACATCTACCAAACCTTTTGAACTCTAAGTACATAACAAGCAGGTAAGCTTTAAAATATAACATTCCTTTTCTTTGTAGAATATTGAAAATCTATACCTCAGCCATGTCGGAGATATCTAATATTTCCAATACAAGATCCAAAGAACATGTTAAGTAACATGTTTTCATTAGAGTTACTCTCATTCCTAATGACATAAAAAAATTTAATTAAATCTAGCAATTGAAACGAGCAAAGCACCACAGCCACAAAAGACAGAGGGAACTTAGGCCAAGAAGTTTAAGTCGCAAATTTATAAACCTTACGGGTTATAATGTAAAAATATGCACACACCAATTACAGCAGAGCCACGTGGTCCAATGAGGGCACTAGGCAGTCGCGCCGCTAGAGTTTCTCTTCTAGAGATTTCCCATCCTAATCTAAAATTTAAACCGAATCCTGATCAAACCAGTAACTAACCAAAAACTCCGGTTTCAACTAGAATTCTAACTTCTTAAATCTCTTTATATATAAACCTTCAAATATCTCTGTTCTGATCTCAACTCCTAAGATTCAACATTCTCAAAATATGTCTATTCAAGCTCTAAATAACAAACCTCTGATGGAGATCCTTTCTTTTCTATCTACACCGTGTCTCGGACGCATGACATGTGTATACAAATGGTGACCCGATCTAATCTCTAACCCCGCCTTCCACCACAAGCTTGGCCGCTCCATCGCCACCCACAGTTTCCTCGTCCATCGCTTGTGGTGGAAGGCGGGGCTGGAGATTAGATCGCGCCACGATTTGCATACACATGTCATGCGCGCGAAGCACGATGTAGATAGAAGAGAAATGATCTCTATCAAAGACTTATTATCTAGAATTTGAATAGACATATTTTAAGAGGATTGAATCTTAGATTTGATATCAAAAGATAGGTATTTGAAGGTTTATGTATAAAGAGATTTGAGAAGTTAGAATTCTAGTTGAAACAGGAGTTTTTTGTTAGTTATTATTTTGATCAGGATTCGGTTTAAATTTTATGTTAGGCTTGAAAATTTTCCAGAGGAAAAACTCTAGCGACGCGATTGCCTAGTACCCTCATTGGACAACGTGGCTCCACTTCAATCGTTGTGTGCGTATTTTTACACTATAACCCCTAAGCTTTATAAATTTGAGACCTAAACTTCTTGGCCTCAGTTCCTCTCTGTCGTTTGTGACTGTTGTGTGTTGCTCGTTTCTATTGTCGGATTTAATTAAAAAAATTGTTATGTCCTATAATCTGAAAGCCCAACCCGAGTGCCCTGACCACTGATTTCTCTAGCGATCCCAGTCCGAGACGAATGACGTCCTCAAGCTAGGGCCTGCTAAAGGAATCCCAGTCCGAGACGAAATGTGTCTTCTACTTGGACTTCTTGAACAGTGACAATCTATCAGCTTCGCCGTCAAGTCGCCATCGCATTTAATGTATGGCCAGAATCATTATGACTCATCAAGCCAAAGTCATAATGACCCCTCAAACAATACCAGCACTTCAGTCATTCTGTCACTGTCACATTAAACATAAATGTGACTTATTCAACCGACCGCAGACACGTGTAAAGTGCAGTAGGACTGATTGACTGCACCAACCCATTCAAATTACCAATGTGTCCCCCACAAGTTCTATATAAATAGTGGACAAACCCCACTATACCAAGGTACGCTGAATAACGTCCTAAAACTAGATTCTGCATTCTACAAACTTGCTTAATTTGTCATTGACTTGACCATCGGAGGGCATGCCGGAGATTATCTCCGGCCCTCTAATGATTGTCACATGTGCATGAATCTACTTCCTCTTGATAATTAGTCATCAAGAAAGATCAAGGGACCCTAAACTCCTCTAAGTATCTACTCACTCATACAATTAACTTCCTATCATAAGCGATAACACCATAAAACTAGATTTTACATTCTACAAACTTGCTTAATCTGTCACTGACTTGAACGTCAGAGGGCATGTCAGAGAGATCATCTCCGGCCCTCTAATGTGTTACCTGTGCATGAATCTACTTCATCTTGATTAATCAATCATTAGGGAAGATCAATGGACCATAAACTCCTCTAAATATCAACTCACTCATAACTTCCTGACATAAACAAGCTCTTTCTGGCAACATCAGCATGCAAAATGGATCAAAGCATGTAAATGGAATTGGTAACAAGAAGTTTTATTTTTTCTTGCACCAGAAGAGGTGAAACTTTGATGCAAAACAAACTGAAATTGCAAAAGGGAGAATATGACTGAAAAGATAAACATGAAAGGGCAACAAGTTTATGACCTTAAGCTCCTTTCTGCTGTGTGGATATATTATAACTGTATGAACGGCCAGGTTTCAGTAACCGTTATAAATATAAGCTTTATAGGTTTGATAGTGTTCTCGTCAAGTTGATGTCACAGTCAGATCAAACAGATCTGCCTGCAAATGGAAAATTGATGTTTCATTATGAACTTTCCACAAAGTTGTGCATAATTGATCCCAGCACCATTTGTTATTTGAAAATTTGAAATACTTCTTGAGCTAGGTGCAGCAGGTCAGAATCTTTGGACTTAAATGTTTGACAATGAAACCAGGACAGAACCAATCTTATGTTAACAACTCAAAAGATATGTTGATGAGATGATGGAGTTTTGAGTTAAGAATTTTGCAGTTAATATCATTATTATATAATTCAAACTTTACAACATGTAAGACCTGTTTCACAGTAATCAACTGACCTTCATTATTATCTATGCTTTAAGGTTTCCCTATATGCAGAAAACATTGGTAGAACGTGTTTGGTGTACACATATATATATAAAAACTAAACATGTACAGAGCCATGTACTTGTGTCTAGACTTCAATCAAAGGACTTTGCTCCTTCGCCAGGAAAAATTAAGTTCAGACCATAACTAAGTTCACTGATTTTTATCGTCACTACTTACAGTGGGGATCCAAGAAAATTTTCTTAGAGAGGCGGACATGATCTATTTACCAAAATGAAAATGGGTTACTATTTTCAAACGGCATGAATGAAAATGGGCTCCTAATTTGTAAATGCTAAATGCAAATTGCTTGAAAATTCATAGTGGGGTGCAAACTTTTTGTGAGTATGGAGGGCAAGTCTTATTTGTAGACTTTAAGATGTAATTTATAGATTGTTTGGGGTGCAACTGCACCCCAAGTCAACACTATTCATCTGCCCCTGACTACTTATTCCTGTTAAGGCAATCATTTATAACAGTAGCATTAGTTTGAACTATCTACAAGAACCAACAATATGATGCCACGATATAATAAACATCAGGGCTGAAACATTGATTGAGGATCAATCAGAAAATCAAAATCAAAGGTTGGTTAATGGCGATTAACCTGATGGTAATCAACAGCGTTGGAAAAGAAAGTTACAACCATTTGCCTGTGTTTCTCCTGTACCTTTAGAAGACCATGTTTTGCCATATGAGACAACATTTGCAAAATCAACAACCAAAGAGCTACTAATCATCATCCAGCATTGTCCGTCAATAAGTTTCAAGGCATCATCAGCAAGCCTGGGTAGAAAATTTGGATAGGATTAATAAGCAGTTATTCTCATCTTGAATAAAGGAAAATGAAGTTAGCAAAACGCCATTCTAATTAGAAACAGATTCCAAATTCGTGAAACGAAACATAAAAATCTAATGGTGTTGCACATATGTTTTCAGAAGAGAAAACAGATACTAAACATAGAATTGTAGGCATGTCATGAAATCCATTCTCAATTCCATGTACAAACGCACTTGCGGCATTTGACAATGCACGCAGGTTCTTTAACAATGCATTCCGAAGAGAGCTTTCTCCACTCTTGCTTCCAAAGGTTTTCTTTGAGAATAACTATACCAGCACACACTCAGATATGTCGTAACTTTTTTTAGGGGAATAAAAGCCTCTATCCACACACTGAAATGCATGCCTCTTGCCATCCAACAAACCTGCATAAAGCAGAGAATATGTTATTCATGAGCGCTACGACAAAATCTTAATAAAACGAAGTCATTTCTCTCTATTCCGCATCGTTGGACAAGTAAACAGGGCTATACATAGAGTTTCTGCATTAAGTTTAAATATCAACTCAGGGTGTGAGAGAATTCTAGTTAACCATTGGGTAATATCAAACCATGAGAAGTAAGAACAATAGAAAATTTCCAAACAGCAGTTTGCTTAAATAATTTTGAACCATATAAAGGAGAAAAAGGTGGTAAAAACTGAGTACTTCGGTGAAGAAACTTTTAGAAGACAAAATACAATATGACTTATTAGCAAGAAAACAAAGAATTTCTCTTATGAAATATAAGAATATTTGGTAAATCAATGGAAGGCACCACACCAATATATGCTTCGGCAATATGAAGCCATTTTAGGATGACATACGTGAATGCACCATAGAATGAACAAGCATTCAGCATAACTTCCAGACCAGAAGAGTATAAAAGCTTAAAATTTCTCCCAGTATCAAGCATAAAGTTTCAGCACGCTTTTATAATTTGCTATCACTAATGTATGTGTTTCTCTAAAACAGGATACCCACATTTTGCTTGTATTTGTGGATGAGGTTCATGGCCGAGAGCTTTTAGACAAAGAAACAAGAAATTTGGAATTATTTAAGAAGAAAACCATGCAGAAAAAGGAGGATATCCTTCTTTCATGTGAACACTTGGTATATCTAAATGACTAAGATAATTGTTGACATTTACATCAAGCACTATTCTAACTAATTGTGGCCATAAGGTATCCTCACTGTTTCGTGATGGGAAGCGGGGTCTATCCCCATGATGAATTAATATGGATTTAATCCATGGAGATTTTATGGTTGACTACATACATGCATTGATAGATTGTCTTTCCCCATGCATTGGGAAAAGGAAGGGTTAGTCTTTGGACTTCCCCATGCATTGGGAAAAGGAAGGGTTAGTCTTTGGACTTCCCCATGCATTAGGAAAAGGAAGGGTTAGTCTTTGGACTTCCTCATGCAATGAATGCGGTGTACCCAAGAGGCATATCCTCCCTATAAATGGAAGGGACATGGTGAAGGTTGAATGAAAGAAGCAAAAAGAACCACATACAAATTTGTAATCCTCAAGTGAGTTTGAGAGAAAGTTGTAATTATCAAGTGAGAGAAAATGATCCTCAAGTTAAGTTATACCAACTTTAGATAAGACCCTTTGTAAACTTTCATTTGATTATAGTGGAAACGGTGAAGAAGGGACGGGTGAGGACATATGCTCAATTTGAGCTGAACCTCGGTAAATCTTGTGTGTGCAATCTCTCTATTTCTCTGTTTTTCTCTTCTTCTTATTTTTGTTCTCATCTCATCACAAAGACGGAAAAGGTCTTGTTTTACTGTTAATTTCCCAACAGTGATGTCAGAGCGAGGTTGCTAATCTTCTTGTGTTGAGATGGTGACTCCCGTCGACGGCGTTCGAATGATCAGTTTGAATGGCCGCAATTTGATGATATGGAAGGCAAAGATGATGGATCTTCTATATTGCAATGACCTCTATACGCCAGTTAAAGGTGAATCCTCCAAGCCAGAGTCCATGACGGCGGATGATTGGAAGAAGCTCGATCGGAAAACCATCGGCACCATTCGGCAATAGGTGGATGACACTGTATTTCATCATGTGTCAAATGAGACTTCGGCGAACAGCTTGTGGAAGAAACTTGAAGATCTCTACGAAAGAAAGACCGCCGACAACAAAGCTTTCTTGATTTGGAAGCTTGTCAATCTCAAGTTCAAGGAAGGTGATTCTATATCTGAACATTTAAATGAAATTCAAAGTATTGTAAATCAACTTGCAGCCATGAAGATGGTGTTGGAAGATGAGCTTCAAGCCCTTTTTTTGCTTAGCTCTTTACCAGATAGTTGGGAGACGTTGGTGGTGTCTCTTAGCAACTCTACACCTGATGGAGTTGTATCCATGAACCAAGTTGCAAGCAGCCTCTTGAATGAAGAAATACGAAGAAAGTCATCTGGATCCTCCTATTCTCATGCTCTTGTTACCGAGAACATGGGGAGGAACAAATATCGACAGCCTCAGAATCGAGACAAGTCAAGAGGAAAATTAAAGGCTAGAAAGGACATTACTTGCTATCACTGCGGGAAGAATGGACACGTAAAAAGGGAATGCCGCAAGCTCAAGCGAGAACAAAAGGAAGGAAAGACCAATGAAAAACAAGAAATGAATAAAAGTATAGTTGTTGTCAGTGACAATAAAATTGTGCTTTTCTCGGCATGTGAAGAAGACTATGCAAATCTCACTTGCCAAGATTCGGAATAGGTGATTGATTTCGGTGTTTCCTACCATGCTACTCCCCGGAAGGACTACTTCACTTCGCTTCGTGAAGGTAATCTTGGAATGGTAAAAATGGGTAACAAAAACTCTTCTCAAATTCTTGGCATTGGAAATATTTGTGTTACTACTAACCTTGGAACAAAGATGGTTCTAAAAGATGTTAGATTTGTGTCCGATCTTCGTCTTAATCTTCTCTCCACCAGTAAGCTTGATGAAGAAGGATACACAAGCAGCTTTGGTAAAGGATGTTGGAAGCTTACCAAAGGGTCACTTGTACTAGCGAAAGGAAAGAAATGTTGCACTCTCTATAAGACTCAGTTTCACTTAGAGAATGATGAACTTGAAACAATGGAAGGTATATCTATGGATTTGTGGCACAAACGGCTTGGCCACATGAGCGAGAAAGGACTACAAACTCTCGCAAGACAACTACTTCCATCCATGCAAGATATAACACTATCCCACTGTGATCACTGCTTGATTGGGAAATAACAACGGGTAGCTTTTGTTAAAAATTATAACAAAAAGAAAACTGACATATTGGACTTAGTCTATTCGAATAATCGGATGTATGCGGACCCATAAATAAAACAATTTTTAATGATGCCTCATACTTTGTAACCTTCATAGATGATGCATCTAGAAAGGTGTGGGTGTATGTTATAAAAACCAAAGATCAAGTCTTTGAAGTTTTTAAAGACTTTCATACTAAAGTTGAAAGAGAAACCGGAAAGCTCTTGAAGTGTATTCATACTGATAATGGTGGTGAGTATACTTCAAGGATGTTTAAAGACTATTATTCTTTTTATGGCATTAGACACCAAAAGACTGTTCCACACACACCACAACACAATGGGATTGCAGAAAGGATGAACCGCACAATTATGAAAAGGATAAGGAGTATGCTATCCTTAGCTAAATTACCAAAAATATTTTGAGGAGAAGCAGTGCGAACAACCTGCTACTTGATAAACATGTCCCCCTCGGTTCCCTTGGATGGAGATATTCCAGAAAGAGTTTGGAGTGGAAAGAATATTTCATATTCTCACTTGCGGGTGTTCGGGTGCACGGCATTTGTACATATACCTAAGGAGAAAAGAACAAAGCTTGATGATAAAGCTATTCCATGCATCTTCCTAGGATATGAAAATGATGAATTTGGGTATAAGTTGTGGGATCCAAAAAATAAAAAAATTATGAGGAGCAGGGATGTTTTTTGTGAAGATAAAACACTTGCTGATTTTGAAAAAGAAGAGGAGTCACAAAACACTCACATCATCCCAGATCCAATCTCTACACCAGTTGTTTTTCCTTCTCCCATGCTAGAAAATAATGATTTTCAAGATGTGCAAGAAGAAGAAGAAATTGTAGGTTCCCCAGGTTTTGATCAGAGGGAGCATGAACATGCAGAGCCACAATATATGGATCAGCCACAGGTACCTCAGTTGAGACGGTCAGAGAGAGAACGACAACCCTTAACTAGATACCCTGCTTCAGAGTATACTATGATAACAGATGCATGTGAACCAGAAAGTTTTCATGAAACACAAGTTCATGATGATCGTGCAAAATTGAAGAAAGCTATGCAAGAGGAGATGGATTCTTTGCATAAGAATCACACTTATGACTTGGTGGAGCTACCTAAGAACAGAAAAGCCTTGAAGAACAAATGAGTGTTCAAAATCAAGAATGATGGAAATGTCCAAGTCAAGTACAAAGCTCGCCTCGTGGTGAAAGGTTTCAGTCAGAAGCAAGGTGTTGACTATGAAGAAATTTTTTCTCCTGTTGTAAAGATGTCTTCTATTCGGGTTATTCTTGGTCTTGCTGCTTCTCAAGACCTTAAAGTTGAGCAGTTAGATGTGAAGACAGCATTCTTCCATGGTGATTTGGCAGAAGAAATCTATATGAAACAGCCAGAGGGTTTCAAGGTAAAGAGCAAAGAACACTTGGTTTGCAAATTGAAGAACTTGTACGGACTCAAGCAGGTACCGCGACAATGATATAAAAGATCTGATTCTTTTATGCTTGACCATGGGTACAAAAGAACATCTGCAGATTATTATGTTTATGTCCAAAAGTTCTCGGATGATGATTTTATTATTCTCTCTCTATATGTTGATGATATGTTTGTTGTTGAAAAAGATAGGTCTAAAATTGATAGGTTGAAGAAACAGCTGAGCAAATCCTTTGACATGAAGGACTTAGGAACAACACAACATATATTAGGAATGAAGATTTCTCGAGACAAAAGTATGAGAAAGTTGTGGCTATCACAAGAAAGATACATTGAACGTGTTCTGCAGAGGTTCAATATGTTAAACTCTAAGCCAGTCAGCACACTGCTAGCAGCTCATTTTAAGCTAAGTACACAACAAAGCCCTTCAAGTGAGAAGGAGGAGGAGATGAAGAGCATTCTATTTGCCTCGGCCGTCGAAAGTTTGATGTACTCTATGGTTTGTACTTTGTACAAGACCCGACATAGCACATGCAGTTGGAATGGTAAGTCGTTATCTTGTCAATCCTGATAAAGAACATTGGGAAGCAGTAAAGTGGATTTTAAGATATCTTTGAGGAACCTCTAAATATTCTTTATATTTTGGAGGTGAAAAACCTATCTTGGAAAGCTACACTGATTCTGATATGGCAGGTGACTTGGACAAAAGAAAGTCCACATCAGGATACTTATTTACCTTTGCAAGGGGAGCCGTATCATGGCAATCAAAGCTGCAAAAATGTATCGATCTATCCACCACAGAAGCTGAGTATATCGCTGCTACAAAAGCCAGCAAGGAGCTATTGTGGATGAAGAATTTTCTGAAGGAGCTATCTCTCAAGCAATAGAAGTACACTTTATATTGTGACAGTCAGAGTGTCATTAACTTGAGTAAAAATGCTACCTATCACTCAAGGACAAAACATATCGACGTACGCTTTCATTGGATTTGTGATGCTTTGGAGAATCGTCTTATGCACATTAAGAAGATTGATACAAGCCAAAATCCGTCTGACATGATGACGAAGCCTCTACCAAAAGAGAAGCATGACCTTTGCCAAAGAAAGACAGGTATGACAACTGTTTGAAAACTTTCTCCTCATGAGGATGGAGGGGGAGATTGATGGGAAGCGGGGTCCATCCCCATGATGAATTAATATGGATTTAATCCATGGAGATTTTATGGTTGACTACATGCATGCATTGATAGATTGTCTTTCCTCATACATTGGGAAAAGGAAGGGTTAGTCTTTGGACTTTCCCATGCATTAGGAAAAGGAAGGGTTAGTCTTTGGACTTCCTCATGCAATGAATGCGGTGTACCCAAGAGGCATATCCTCCCTATAAATGGAAGGGACATGGTGAAGGTTGAATGAAAGAAGCAAAAAGAAGAACCACATACAAATTTGTAATCCTCAAGTGAGTTTGAGATAAAATTGTAATCCTCAAGTGAGAGAAAGTGATCCTCAAGTTAAGTTTTACCAACTTGAGAGATTACCCTTTGTAAACTTTCATTTGATTATAGTGGAAACGGTGAAGAAGAGGCGGGTGAGGACGTAGGCTCAATTTGAGCTGAACCTCGGTAAATCTTGTGTGTGCAATCTATCTATTTCTCTGTTTTTCTCTTCTTCTTTTTTTTCTCATCTCATCACAAAGACGGGAAAGGTCTTGTTTTACTGTTAATTTCCCAACATTTCGATGGTAACATTTAGTAAACAGATAATTACTTTGGTAATAAAATGTAATATTGGAGTAAGTGCTAGTCTAAGAAACAGCTCAAAACACTAGCCAAATATGAACAAAATGTGCAAAAAATTAACCTCCATGTTTAAGGCAAAATTAACCTCCACGTTTAAGGCATCCACGTCTTTCGAGTAAATAAATAATAAATAAAGTATCTGAACCAATAATTTGGGATGCTAATATTGCTTTTGTGGAGCTGAAAACAAGAAGAAAGTACGGAATTGTCACAACGAAAAATATCATGATAAAACACGCGAAAGAGAAATAAACAGATTCCGTAAATTAACGTACAACAGCAGTTAAAAGACAGTCTTTCCACAAAAATTCCAGCATGTTCAGTGGTTACTACTTACTAGTTTATCTCAATGAATGCTAATTTACATAATTTACCACAATACGGTGCTAAAATACTAAAGAAAGCATAGCTGCACAAATACCACATTACTCACTGCCACAACCATTTCAGTGACTGCAAGTAATCATGCGCGCTCATTGACCTAATTATCAAAGGCAAGTAAATATCAGTTACAAATAAGGATAAAAAATTTCCAGAACTACGAAAGCAATGGTGGACCAACGATCTCACCAATTGACTAACAGAATCCGTCAAAATCCACCACTCATCGTGATCTCGGGCCTCTGCGGAGCAATCTGAGGCCAAAATCTCAACAATCCACGACCAGATCGGCACTGTCCGCTAAAAATAGAGCATTTCCCCCGAATAATCGATCGCATCAAGCACGTCAACGGCTACGCGATCGTCTCCGTTCAAAAACAACCGGAGAAAGCTCCGATCTAGTTTATGTATTACGAATTCGATGGCGGAGGGAAGAATTTAGGGTTTTGAGATCGTTGGAGGTGAGGTGAGAGTTAGGGTTTGAAGATTTCGCCCCATTCTCAAATCGAAATGGCGGGAGGAAGAAGAGAGAAATTAAGGAGAATTTGGGTCGTGTATATGTCGACGAAACTAGTTAGGATTTGAAATAGGGCCCGTTATAACCTCACATTTCGATCCAAATCCGTTTGTATATTATCTTTGAGATCCAAGCCCGATAGTCTTATTAATAAAGATTTTTCTTTTTTTCATATAACAAGGTAATAATAAAGATTAATAACTGTAACTTTGTTTAATTCTGACTAACCCGACATTTTCCTTTCTGAATATGATTATTGTGTATTTATTTGCAGGCACATAAATTTTTTTCCTAATACATATCATTTGATGCCAAGTTAATAGTCATAATCGATCTCACAAACGTTCTATCTTTTTCTTCGAAACAGGTAGAAAAAAAAGGTTAGTTGCACATAAAATTAGAGTTGAAGTTACATCTTGCAAGAAAGATGAGACCACGGGAGATGTTTCATTATTTTGAGAAGGAAGAAGATTATTTCACTTTGTCACCTAGTCACCTATAAGAGACATACTTTTTATGAAACACTAGATTTTATGCACGTGGTTAAATACTATGATTATGTATTTTTTGTTTATTTTCTTACTAAAATTTGTTCCTTGGTTACACTTTGATAATTTTTGCTCACTTTGATTAAGTATTTTGGTTTATTTTCTTACTAAAATTTGTTCCTCGATTACACTTTGATTATTTATTTATTTGATGTTTGTTTGAATAGGCTACACTCAGTTTAAATTTTTATGTTGATAGTTGAATTGTCAAGAGATAAATACAATCTAAAACCAATTTAATTTTTCATTTCATTTGGATCGGCATGAAACCGAGCTTGACCTGAGGAAGTATAGTGTTATGAAAGTGAAAACACACGGAAAAAATAACATTATAAAAGGAAGATGAATAATAAAACCAACGAGTCAAGATGATTGATTTAAAGTGGGCTAAAATGTCAGAAAATAGTTAATGAAAAAATCATAAACTGGAGTTTAATGCTAGCCCTAGTACACTTTTATACGATAAATGCATCCACATATGTATATGAAAGCACTAAAAAAAGTTTATGATATCCCTTCTAAAGATTCCTAATTTTACAAAAAAATAAAAATATTCTATAACAATTCACAAAACATTATCTTTTGTTGCTTCTATTTTATTTTTCATTGAGTCGAGATCAATCTTTTTTCATCTTTATCTTTTTCCTAGGTAATTTTAGAGTAGTGTCTTTATCGTCTACATCGATTGTGATATGAGACTAGAGCATGTTATCTTTCCTTGAGCTCATTCATCTTTTATCTTCTCGTCTAAATTCACAAAGAAGTTGAATATGTTTTTTATGTTCAACACAAACTTCTAACAATACGGACTTTGGTTTTTACATATTTCAATAAGAATAAATTTTAATTTTATATATATGAAATTTTTTATGCTTTTAATTTATTGCTTAAATAAGGTTAGGAACTACATCTTTTTTCTCTGCAATGAATTCTTTTGTTGTGTATCCAATAAGAATTTCTGTTATATCATAATGTTACATTTGCTCTGTCTGTATCATTTTCCATGAGGATCTGAACTAAATACATTATTATTTTTATTGTTAATTTGCTTTAGATTATAATATTAATATTTAATGTTGATATATTTATTTCATGAAGAAGAGATATCACTTAATCTTGGTACTACATCATCGGCTATTCTACAACATTTATCATCTGGACACTTATTATTAACATATCTATCTACTTTCTTGTTGCAGCCTTTGCAAACATAGAACCACCGCTCAACTCTATTATAAATGGTAGCTATCATTGCCTTAAATGTGTGATAGTGTGTCTATATATTGGTAAATTGTTCATTCGTTTAATTGTATAAATTTTGGAGTAGGTTTTCTAAGATCATACATCTTTCAAATATTATGATAGTTGTATATATTAGTAATTTAAATTTTTGCTGCATTTATTAAGAGCCTTGATGGAGATGCTTTTGTCTTAGCAGCTTACTCTAAAAGAACGATGCATATTAGCTTTAAAAATGTAATTTTTTTTACAGTGTTATATGGATGTTTGCTTGGTTTGCTTACTAATCTCTCTCTTCACTAAGTTATATCCTTTGGATTGATATATATCATTGAGGCAATTTACGATGATATGCATATCTCCTCTATAAATTTGAGACAGATATAAGGTGAATTTTATATTTAGTAGCCTTTAATAAGAATTTTAGTAATGAAATATACTACCTTCATATTTAGAAATCTTCAATTCTAATAGTGCTATTACATCATTATCTTTAATTGTGTCTTTAAGAATTGATCATTTGTTAGTAGTCATAGCCCTAAATAAAGTCACATGCATGATCATGATACTATATAAGAAAATGAAAAAGGGTGATTTTATATTTTTTGCTTACGCAGAATCATGATATGATAATTTTTCTTTTATCTTCCATGAAGAATGTTTCTTTGATTAAAACAAAGTTGTTCAATGTATTCTTCAGGGGGTATTCAGTCGGTGTTTCTTTGATAAATATAACTTATGTTAGTGTTAATTGAAGTGGTTCATGGACATTCCGAATTTCATTTGAAATAAAAATCGCTTGATTCTTTTGAAGGATATCTCTAAATTTTTTAATAGTTCTGCATACATAAATCTTTATAATTTTTTACCTTATAAATGTTATTACCATTAGAGATTAAGACTTATAGATTACAATTAATTAAAGTTAAGCTATTATATTGTAGCCTTTTATCAGTTTTTTGTGATTTAGTCTTCTATCAATTAATGATACTTATGTATTTTTGCTGCCCTAACATATTGGTAAAATTATATGCAGTTACTTTAATTTATACAATAACATTAATTTTTAATCTATCATATATTTTTTAAATTTTTATTCTTTAACTGGATATTTTTAATCTGTTATTATTATTATTTTTTTACCAGTATCAACTTGACTATTTTCAGATTCTGAAAAAGGGATAGTAAACCTTAAATTATAAGTTATATTTATATATCTTAATGAAAGAATATCACACAATTATTCTTTTCTTTGCCAAGTTCTAAATTTTTAGCTTTTTTATTTTGTGTAGTTTTAAACTTTTGAGATTATTTTGTCTAATTTTTAAAACTTTTTACTTTTTGTAATAATTTCATATAATAAGCTGATACTACTGAGCTATTTCATATATTTTATTAATCTTATTTAAATTATTGAGCTATATATAGTTCATGGGGTATTAGAATAGGACATAAGTATGATTAGGATAGATTATAATTTAAATTAAATATTTAAAATAGTACATAATAATTTTGACTATGGAAAACTTTTCTCAAACTCGTGCTTTTAAAGAGAGTATGATTTTTGTTTTCCTTAATTTTTCTTTTTTATACTTTTGAGAATGATTATTCTTTTTAATTTGTATGGTGAATTTTATAAATATCTCATCCAAATTATGTACATTTGTAGGTCTACGTTGTTCCTGAGTTTGACCTGTGGGGTAGACATAATTTGTCTTATTAATTTATTTAGTTTTTGCATATACGCCCTTCATGTTATAGATATTTATAAATTTGGTATTTAATAATTTTATTTAGATTTACATTTCAATTTAAATTGTATCATTATCTTTATACTGTGTATATCCAATAAGAATTCATCAATTTATCAACTTATTCTTACTTAATGGAATAATATTTGAATTCTAAGGGTTTTTTTGTCTATCAAAAGATTTTTCCGACTTGTGCTTTTAAAGTGAGTATGATATGATATGATATAATAATCAGTTCATTTTCTAAATGTATATCTCAAACACATCTTTAGTGTTAGTCTGACTTGGTCTTGTGTGACCAAATCAACGCTTCTCAAGCGGAGAGAAATGTGGGATATGGGATTTGTTGAGAGAAAATCTATCAGAGGCAGTTTGAGGAGGGTGGAGATGATGGGATTTCGGCCTATATATAGATGAGTAATCTCCCAGGGAAATCACAACAAAGAAAAGGAAAAATCAAACTCCTTACCCTTTACCGGAGCCCCCCTCAAAGATATCTTCTTTCTCTTCTTCTCTGTGTTCAAAGACTAGTATCAGAGCTGAAGGTTCTTCATCATCTTGGAATCCTGCTATTTTCCCAACAAAGAAGCACTCTCTGTTGAAGAAGAAAAGTTTAGTTGAAGAAGAAGAAGAAGAAATGGAAGCATTCATTATCCAGCGGTCATAGCCATGTCTCAAAGTTAATAGTCGGCCAGTCATAGCCTACACCCTATTATTTCATAGCCTAAATCCAGCCTCTTGTTTCCTAGCCTACTGTTTTTATAGCCTAGTCTAGCCTATTGATAGCTTATTTGTCAAGACATTTTCTCATTTTTAAATTTCTACATCTACCCCACTGTTATCCAGCCTAGCTTGTTCATAGCCTATTAGGCCTAGTTGTTCAGTACTTTGCATCCACCTTATTATTTCATAGCCTGGATGTTTCATAGCCTATTGGGCCTTCTTGTTAGGCCTTGAGTGTTGTGCTTGTTTGCTGGCCCGGCTGTTCCAAGTCGATCATCTCCAATCCAGTCAGAAACGATATTGAAACTTTGACAACAGATTCTTCGATCAACACCGCTAAGCCGCTAAGTGACGACATTGCTTCAATTGGAGCTTTATTTCTCAACTCACAAGAATCAGGTTCATTTTAATTAATTAATTTATTTAGCTCTATTATATTTTAGTATAATTATCAAAATATCAACCTTATACATATTTTAAAATTGAATTTAGTTTTAGTTTTTTACCGAATGGCTAGTAAACTCGTTCTATCAGAACTAGGGAAAATTAACAAATTTAATGACATTAATTATGATATGCGGCATAGAAAAATAGAATATGCTCTTATTCATGACACCATTGATAATGTAATCGAAACCAGTGCTTCAACCCTTACTGATAAATCAACACCTGAAGAAAAGAAAGAGTTTGAACAGTGAAAGTCAAAAGACAAAAAGGTGAAAAGCCTTATGCTCATGTTCATGGAAGATAACTTAATCAAAGTTTTTAAAACTTATAAAACTTCCATGGACATGTGGAATGTAATAAAAAATATATATATGACACT